TTTGGGATTTGGGATTTGGGATTTGGGATTTGGGATTTGGGATTTGGGATTTGGGATTTGGGATTTGGGATTTGGGAGTTGGGCGTGGCAAACTATAAATAGTTTTGGATTTTGGCGGCAAATATAAGCCCATAGGCAAAATTTTTTATACAAGTGAAATATTTCGGACTTTTAAATACTAGATATTTGTTCCGGCGAGATTATTTCTTTTTAACAAAATATTCGGATTTTTTAAAAAGAAATTTAACCGAAACACCAATTTCCTAACTAATTAGGTTTATAAACCAATTTTATTTCAAATTTTAAATTTAATTTAGGATTAAGGTTATAAAATGAAAGGTTTTTTAGGACACTAAGCATTATTGATTGGTACACAACCACAAATTACTAAAGCCGGCTTTTGAGAACCAACGAGCGATACCAGGCGAATTTTGCCTCTGTAAGCGCTAAATTCTTTATTAAATATTAAAAAAAATTATTATTTAAAAATTTAAAAACATTTATATTTTATGCAGATATTATATTGAGAATTTTTTTAATATAAAAATAAATTTATTTTTAATTGTTCAAATAGATTAATTCAAATAAATTATGTAATATCACCAGATCGCAAAGAAATTACGTACATACTTATGTGCGTAGTTTATGACAAATAAATTAATCATTTTATGAGTTGGTTTGTATAATGATCAAATAATTCGTCATTGTCATTGTTTTACAGCAATAAATAGTGATCAAAAAATAAATCAATTTACTTATTTATATTTTTCCTTTTCCATCATCGTTGCTAAAAGATTGTTGTAAGAATATAAATATTTTCAAATCTTTTTTAGACGACAATTAATACATTCTTTGTGATATATTAACGTTCATTAATTATATTGTAATCTTATATTTAACCAGATCATTCTAGATCTCAATATGTTATTCCTTGACTGGTTAACAACAATCTTTAAGGAACCCATATCAATTATATATCATCATATTATATGGCTAATTTTATGTGTTCAACGTCCACTCGCAATTACTGTAGAAGGCCCTACAGGTGAAGATACGTATATGATATTACCACCAACTCCACATCATGAGGCGAAAACTTACGTTGGAATGTTAGTTGCGTTCCTCATGGATAATTGTATGGAATATATAGGTAGTTTGGTAGGTCAATATATATATTTTGGACCTCCTGTGACAGTACAACCAAAAGATAGATTGGTTCAAAAGGACAAGCGGGACAAATCAGACAAACCAATTTATGAACAAGAACATAATAAAGAGAAAACCCAATCAAAAGTTGATATTGGAAATAAGGATGATGAAAGAAATGGATTTAATGACATTAGAAATTATGATATAATTAAACAAGATCTCGAGCCAAATATCGATTCTACAAAGACACTTGAACAAAAGAATATTCAGGAGAAGAATGTCGGGCAAGAAGATAAAGAGGAACAAGAGGAGCAAGAAGAACAAGAGGAACCAGAGGAGCAAGAAGAAATAAGTTTAGATGACAGTGGAATTGATATTGGAGAATATGCACCTGAATCGGCTGAGGAAAATAAAAAAGATCAAGACATAGATTTTGAAGAATCTCAACCTGAAGCAAATCAGCTTGTTGCGAATGAAGAAAATGGTAATGAATTTTTCCTTGAAACAATCGATAAAGACTCAGAAGTTGGTGAAACAATTGAAGGAAGTACCGAATATTTTAGCGACAAAGAATTACATCATTCAAGTGACACACTAGGATCACCTAAGAGTGATACAGATGATAGTATAGATAATTCACTCGCTTTTGAGCCTCGTGTATCCAACGATCGGATTTTTCCGGTTGAAGGTAATATATGTGAATTTTTCAATCTCAATTGTAATCCTGGGTTTGTTCAGCATTTTGAGTTTGATGTTCAGACATTCAATTCACACACATTACGGCGAAAGAAATACGCATGGTTCAAAGCGATTTAATAATTGATGATGATCGTGAAGAAGAGACTAGTGATAATGGAATGGAATATCGTGAATATGTCGATCCTAATATTAGTAATATCATCATTAGATAATAAACAATTTTTTCATTTATGCGATGAGAAATAAATCAATGCTCGCATAGAATTTGCTATTAAGGTTAGTAAAAATTAATAGTGTGGTGATTAAATTAAGTTTGTAAGAATTACGAAATGTTTTTGCAAAGCAAAAATCTGTGGCCAATTTTATTATATTATTAATACGTAGTATCAAACTAAACACAATATCGATATTGTACGTATAATATGCAAATATCGATATTTGTATAATATGCAAATAGCCACATTATTCAATTACATAAGCATATACATTTTTCAGCCAATGCAAATGCGACAATGTGTTTCATATTAACTTTTTAAATTATTTGTTGCAACACAGAATTTTGAAACTTATTTCCCCGTCATACGTACGTACCTACGATCGGTTCCACCGTTCGATCGGCGTAACCTTACCATGAAACCTCGTGTGGCATCGTTTTGCTTGGCATCTCAAAATTCCTTATATTAAATATGGGCCCACCAATTAATGAAAAGTTCATTTCCGCTTCCGGCGCATAAAAAACTTATGGTACATTAGCTTCGTTTTTCATAAAAAGAACATGAGTTACTACATTTATTAAATATTTGTTTTATACTTAAAATATTTGAGTATTAAATAGTTGAATTGTTACTATACTTGCTATTAAATATTTGAGTTGCTACTATTTACCATCAAATCTTCGTTGAGTGCCGAAAATTTATTCTTTATTACGTGAAAATACAATATGCAGGGATTTAATCTCTTTATATCTTTTTTTTTTTAAAAAAAAAAAACCAAATCTCGCATTAGAAAGTTATTGTATTTTTAGAATAAATGCTGCACAACAATTATTTTTACAATACAGGAATAAGTTTCAAAAACCAAGAATCTTGGCATTAGATCGGATAATAAATAAATATATATTCATCTATTAGTGTTACGATCATTGATCGATTCTTTGTTTTAAATCGATTTTGTCTGATATTTACGTACATACGCACGTACGTATTGTATAACGGATAATGAATGTTTCTTGAAAACCATTTGTAATCATGTAGTTCTGCAGAAGTATGCATAGAGGTATCCAGTTGAACTCTTTTGATTTTCAACCGAGCCTTTTGCATCATTAAAAAAAATCCGATTTGATCGACGTTTTCAAAAAATTTAAATTTTGTTTTCTAAATACTGAAATATATTAACTTTGACACATTTTAAAGTACAAATACCAAATTATGTTAGTCACGTGAATATATGCTAACGATTTCTCCTTGATACTTGCGTTTCAAAGATTCTTTATAATAATATACATTATTTACATTATCCATTCATTTACAAATACAAGACCTTAATTGATTTCTTATAAATAAGATCATTTATCATCCTAAATAATATTGAAACTTCGACAGGTTCGTAGTATCCATTCTTAACATTAACTACCATTCCAATATTTACATAGTTTATAAAAAAAGAAAAAACCACATCTAAAATGAAATACATTAGTTTTATATTATTTTCTTCCACGATTCTTTATATGCTAGTATCGAATGCTACATCACAACTCCCTGGAAATTGGCCAACAGCTGATGTTCCTCCTCCACCAAATCCAAACTTTACAAAGCTTGTAGATTTAACCAAGGTTTCAAAAGCTCCCGTTAACCCAGCAACTCCTAATTGTGCTGCTAACACTAATGATACTTTTTGTTATTGGTCTTGCACCGGATGTGTTCGTAATAAAACAGATATCGTAAGATGTCCTAATAAATTAGGTAACTACTAAAATAGTGCGTTGATTCTCACTTTCCCGAAAACTATTTTCCCGACATCACATATGGTTAGGGTACATTTGGTTAGTTGTAGATATATATTTTTAGCAAATTGTCACCAGTGTGATATCGGGTAAGTGACATGTCGGGAAATAGCTTTCGGGAAATCGTACAGTGTCCAAAATAATGATGTGAACTTTCAACATATTGATGATATCTTTTTGTTTTTAGATTGGGGACTTAGTTTCGATGATGGTCCAACGTAAGTTCATGCAACTATTTATTTAATAGCATTTAAGTTATTTACAAACATTTATTCCTTTAATAATAATATTTATTATTATTATCTCTAGTGTTTTTACAGACACACTCCTCGATTACCTAGAATCACAAAATATAAAAGTTACCTTTTTTGTTATCGGTTCTCGAGTAATTCAAAATCCTGCTATCTTGCAGAAAGCTTTTAAAGCTGGTAAGTAATTATTATAGCTATTCAATTTACACGTAAAGATAATTTTTTTGAAATTTTTTTTAAATGAAATTAAATAGGACATCAAATTGGTATACATACTTGGTCACATCCTCAACTTACAACTCAAAGTTCTGAACAAATGATTGCCGAACTTAAATATACTGAATCTGCAATTAAAGCGGCTA